ATGACCTTTTTCCGCAATTTAAGCACTTGCAACAACTTCTCCTCTTCATTATCACGGAGGGAGGTGGAAATGATCACTGATAGTCTCTCATCATCCTCTAAGTAAGCATACTTGAGGTTCTCCGGTAGGGATATTAGCTCTGGTATGGGTGTTGGCTGAACAACAGAAGGAACCAGAGAAGGGGAAGGAATGGGTTCCACAACCTATACCTCAACCTGCAAGTCAGATTCATGTGTACTTCCTGCAATAAGGTTAGTGCATTCTGACTCTATAAAATCAAAATGAAGAGGTACAACACCGAAAGCATCAGATTCATGTGCATGATCAGAATGTGTATCAACATTTGTATCAGTCATGTCAGCAGTTGTATCAGTATCAATATTTAGAAATTGATCAATGCAAGAACTACACACTTCAGAATCAGTACATGCAAGACAGGTGAAGGAATTATGTAGAGATGGGAAGTCAAAATCATGAGAGAATTCAAATACATGTTCATTAATTAATTCATCAATCAAATCAACATGAAAAACATAATGATCCTTATATGGGTGTTTCATGGCATTTAGAATATTAAAGCACACCACAATGTCATCAAATTCCATGGATAAAGTCCCTGCATGCACATAATTTTTGATTTGTGTAGTCTTTAAAAATGGTCTGCCTTAAATGATGGGTGCAGAACTACGTGAAAATTCCTAATCCATATCAAGAATATAAAAATCAGCAAGGAAAATCAACTCACCAACCCTAACTAAGATATCCTCAATGAAACTTGTAGGGTGAGTAACACTCCTGTTTGCCAACTGAATAACTATACTCGTAGGTTGCAGGGGTCCAAGAGAAAGACATTTAAATATAGACAGAGGCATGACATTAATTGAAGCATCTAGATCAAGCATAGCATTTTCAAATTTATAATTACCTATGATACAAGGCACAGAGAAAGTACCTGGGTCCTTGCACTTCTCAAGAATTTGAGGAACAAATTTACCTATTAATGCTAACACATTTCTGCCCATGCTAATCCACTCATTTCCCTTTAGCTTCATCTTGTGTGTACACAACTCTTTTAGAAATTTGGCATATCTAGGAATTTGCTTGATGACATCCAAAAGAGGAATGTTCACCTCCACCTTCCTAAATGTTTCTAGAATCTCTTTGTCCATTTCTTCCATCCTTTTACTTGGAGGAATTTTTGGTGGGAATGGAAGAGGAATAGGAGGCTGATATAGCTGTTGACTACTGTTGAATATAGAGAAAATACGGTTTGAGATTAATCTCCCTTGTGTATAAATCACACATTGGGTAATCTATTTATAATAGGGAGAGGTACAACTAAAAGAGTAACCGAAAGTAAACAAAATAAACAGAAGATATTATGGTTAACAATATCTAATAATATCTTAACAATATCTAACAATATCTTAACAATATCTAAACAATATCTAACACTCCCCCTCAAGCTGGAGGATACAAATCGTATGTGCCAAGCTTGTTACAAATATAATCAATTCTAAGTCTCCGTAAAGACTTAGTAAAAATATCTGTTAACTGATCACTTGAGTTAATAAACTCAGTCTTGATGTCTCCAGACATAATCTTTTCTCGAATGAAATGACAGTCAATCTCAATGTGTTTGGTCCTCTCATGAAAGACAGGATTAAAACTAATATGAAGAGCATCCTGATTGTCACACACAAGTGTCATTTGAGTGACATCTCCAAATTGTAACTCTCTAAGCAATTGCTTGAGCCAAACAAGTTCACAAGAAGCTGAGGCCATAGCTCTATATTTTGCTTCTGCATTGGATCTTGCCACAACACTTTGTTTCTTACTTTTCCACGAAATCAAGTTACCACCAATAGAGACACAATATCCAGATGTAGATCTTCTATCTGAAAGATATCATGTCCAATCAACATCTGAGTAGCAAACAACTCTTGTATGATTATTAGAACCATATAATAATCCTTTTCTAGGAGATCATTTAATATACTTCAAGATACGAATGATTACATTCTAATGATCTTCACATTGGGAATTAAGAAATTGACTTACCACACTTACTGCAAAGGAAATGTCAGGATGAGTAACTATAAGATAATTCAATTTTCCAACCAATCTTCTATACTGCTCTGGATCAGATATAGGCTCCCCCTGATTTGGTAGAAGTTTAGTATTAGGATCCATGGGTGTATCAACAGACTTTGAACTCATCAACCTAGTTTCCTTCAAAATATCCATGACATACTTCCTCTGAGATATAATAATATCATCATTGGACTTAAATTATGCCACCTCAATACCCAAAATTATCAAGATCAGGACTTAAATTATGAACAAAACATGTAGACCCAAAAATTCTTAGAGGTAAGGAATGAAGAGGTTCATGAAGGAATAAAATGGAATGAAGTATTTTATTATCTAAAATCGAAGAAGGCATACGATTAATGAGATAACATGCAGTAAGAAGAGCATCATCCCAAAAATGTTGAGGAACCTCTCCATAAATTAAAAGAGTGCGAATTGTTTCAATGAGATGTCTATTTTTACGTTCAGCTACAATATTTGGAGTTATTTCAATAAGCTTTGTAATTCATCAATGAACATTGTCTCAGTGTCATCTGATTCCTCGATAGACTACCACATAAGTGAAACGTGCTGATAGTGTGGGAAGAATTTTTTTCAACCACCTTGGAGTCAGGCATAACTTCTCCATTGCTTCGCATCTTGTTGGTCACAACCATCACCTGTGGAAAATAATCTGAGATGGAATCTGTATCATTTATTTCGAGCACCTCAAACTCTCGTCTCAATTGAGCATAAATTTCTTCACGCATGCATTTCCTTCATATTTACATTTCAATGAATCCCACGCTATTTTGGATGTACTTCTATCCAGAATTTGCTCGAAGAGAGTTTGATCAATGGCTCGGAAAAGGTAATACTTTACCTTATGATCTTCGAATCTAAATTTTCCCTTTGCATTAGGTAGAGTCGTGCCTCTTTTGGCTCCTCCACACCATTTCTGACCAAGTTCCAAAGCCCCTCGGCACAAAGTAGATTCTTCATCAATTCACTCCAATGATCATAGTATTGACCATCAAAGTCAGGAATTCTAGTGGATAACTTTTCCCTTTGCATTTTTAGAATTTTCTTATGACAATTAAGCTGTAGCTTTTGTATAAGACCCTGTAGAGCTCTCATACCAGTTTGAGAGATATTTTAAAAAATACTGGTGCAAAACTGTGTGCTGCAAATATAGCCAATACAATTATCAATAAAAAAGTATAACAACAGAACTACTACGAGACTAATAAAATGCCTACATAATAAGAGTTTATAAAGCCTAAATAATAGGAGCCTATAGACCAGGATTTATTCAAAACAGAAATATTAAGAAACCGCTTCATAGGAAATATTTAGTTTAATGGGGACTTGAAATTTGGTAATTTTTTGGCTATATTTTTCATTCGTGAGGAGAGAAAAGAATTATCTTTCCATACCTTTAAATTCTCTTACTACGAGGTCAAAATGGCATGTTATTCTTATAAGGCAGTTTGATATGGTAAATAATTAATGTTTTTGGTAATGATTCTGATTTTTAAAAAAGCTCGTACAAATGTTTTAAAGTATATTTATATTAATTAAATAAGTTTTAGTAATTTTTTTTTAAATTGTAATTTATAAAATTCTTTATTTTTAATATGATTTTTCCATACATGAAAATAAAACTTATTTTTATTAAATATCTTATGAAGTTTGTTAAACTATCTCATTATCCTATGAAGATTTTCTATATTTCTTATATTTTTAAATATAAGTATATATATATATATATATATATATATATATATATATATATATATATATATATATATTGTTAAGGTTCCAACATAAAACCAATTGACTATATATGGAGTAGCCTAACATGTATTTAAACCATACCAAATGATATGAGGTAGGCGATGTGGGACTTTCAACACACCCCCTCCAACGAAGCCTGCCGGACCAGGCAAAAGGTATTTTTGACCCAACTAAAGGACAACTTTTGGCCCATGACAATAATCGGAAAGATGTTAGGCTTTGGCTCGATACCATGTTAAGGTTCCAACATAAAACCAATTGGCTATATGTGGAGTAGCTTAACATGTATTTAAACCATACCAAATGATATGAGGTAGGCGATGTGGAACTTTCAACATATATATATTTTAAATATATTATTTAAAAAATTTAAAATTATACTCATTATTATTTTCTAAACTATAGTCTTCTCTTTATAATTATATTTATTTTAAACAATATAATAAATGATCAAAACTATTTTTTAATAAAAATATTAATAAATTTATTAAAAATAATAAAAACTAATATTTTTATTAATTTATATAACCCGTCCTTAAAGGACACATACTTCATTTTGACAACAACTAAACTAAGAGAAAATAAAAATAAAAATAATAATAATGTTATTTAAATGTATAAACACAAGGAAAATACTAAACCTAATCTCTTCAATGATTTGATTTAATACAATATATATATATATATATATATATATATATATATATATATATAGCTTTGTCGTCATATACATGAATTTGAATATAAGTTAGGCTGATTGGTTTATGCTTTCAGTCCATAATTGCATGTTGAGAAATAAAAGCATGATATGTTGTTCAAAGGAAACTAAGACAATATCAATGACCTAATCATTTCTTTGTATTGTGGATTGCTAAAGGATCATAGACAGCGATAAAATAAAACGGTGTTGGGAAGTGTCAGATTCAGAGGATAATTTGATGTTAGTACATTGATGGAGGAACCTAAACCACAACCCATCATTTGTAAGTTGGTCTAAAATCAATGGAATTAAATTTGCATGAGAAAGATTCAGCCTATGCTTGACAAAAACAAACTAAAAGAAAGAGAAGAACACTCTACGTACTATAAACCCTTTCTAATATCAATACCCCGGTCGACAAGAAGCAATCTCAGGTGGTCTCACTCAGTTTCACAATCTCCTTCAGCAATTGACTTACTGATTTCTTTAGTACATCAGGCACTACCAGCTGGGGGTGCACTGACTCTAAACCGTATGAAGTGATAACCTTCATAACTGATACTAATTCCAAATTATTGGTGTTAAAATTCCATACACTTTGATTCACAAACTTGCACGATTTCTGCAGGGGGCATCCACTGCAAACCTGATGCCAAAAGAAAATGTATTACAACATAGGTAAACAGAAACATCTATTAATACAGGGCAAAACATTAGGTGTACTTGAAAGAGGCCTATAACAAACACTTCTATAAACATTTGTGAGACCTTATAAAACTAGCTTATAATCTTTGTTTTCAGCTCATTTCGATAAGTTCTCTAATATACTCATGAACAAAACTTTTAACTAACATGAAAACAATTTAACTTTAATCTTATTTTGTTTTCGATCATGAAACAACTTACACATATACAAACCTTATTCAATAAAAGTCTAATGAAGTTACACCTAAACAAACCTTTCGATGCAGTTTGTTACGTATTTCTAAAGCTGGATCAAAATTGAAGTTTAACTTTGGTGGTAAACTATAATGCAGTCATGTAGATTGTCAAAGTGAAACTTCAATTCTGAGTGAAGAACAATGCCAAAAACATCAAACGGACACTACATATAAGTTTTGTTGTCCCCAGATAAATTAGAAACTTTTTGATGAATGCTATGCCTTACCGTGTTCTCCGGGACCTCAAAAAACTTCCGCAGCCTTTTAGCAGGAAAGACAGCACTCTTATGGGTGTCAGGGCAGCCAAACACGGCCACTTGCTTCAAGGCACTTCCTGATAGCCATCTGTCAATCCAATTTCATGTCAGATATAAGTCATTTGGGAAAAACTACTGAAGATAAAAACCAAGGGAAAAGAATAAAATCAAAATTTACTGTTTTACCTATACTATTTGAAAACAGGTATAGGTACCTCATTATTTAAAGGGAAATCAAAATCCGACCGTTGCAACATTGCATAAACAATTTTAAAAATGTGAAATCAGAAATTTGATAATTTCCTAGGCAATGGACACTGACAAATTCTAAGGGTTCTTTTCCATAAGTCATCAAATAATCCGATAAATATGAAAAGCAAAGTCAATCCTCAGATAAGATATAGGCAATCTTTCACCACATTACAATATTAGCTAATAGTTAAAGCATTTTCTTGCAGTAAATGGTTACTTTAGTCTTGAAGTTGGTAGTTGCTATTACGAAAGTTGTAATGGTTTCAATTAACTTACTTGGCAATTTCCTGGTTATCTCTAGCGAATTTCTGGGCAGCAAACTTGATATACCCTACGGCGAAGAAATTGGTAAACCAATCAAGATCAAAATTATTTTTCCCCTGGGCGAAATTGGCATCTTTAAAATATCCATTCTCAAACAAGTACTGCGCGAACATCACCATATCGGGGGAAAGCTTCTTGACAACCACTGATTCCATTGATTTCGTGGGAGGCTTTTTATTGGTATACACAGCGAACAAACTCATTTTTTTTGGGACCCCTTTTGTTTTCTCTTTGAGGGTCTTAATCTCTTGCTCCAACTGCTTGAGATTTTTCTTCAGTTCGGTTCCGGTTTCTGATTGAGTTCGCTCGTCGTCGGTGTCGGAAGTGGTGGTTTTCTGGGAGAGACCCACAGCTTCGGTGAAAAGGGCGTGGAGGGGCTTTTTGTTGGGCCGAGCTTGGGCTTGGGATGTAACGGGTCTGTGAGGGGTTTTGAGGAGGAGGAGGAAAAGGTTGCGGCGAGTGAAGAGGGTGGTGAAGATGGGCATGGTGGCGTGACTGGAGAAAGAAAGCCAGAGTGGGAAAGAAGGGGTTTTCTCCAATTATATAATAGGAAGGGGTTGTGACAAGCTCAGAAGAAGATCTGCTCTGTATCTGAGACCCGGGGGCTTGACCGATGTGGGACTGGGTTACATGTGACAATAAGCGCAAATTTGTGAGGTTTAAGTATGAAAACAATCTTTCATACCCATGTAAAGTAAAAATAAAAGGTATGAATACTACCTCTTCGCTTTAATCTTGTTCAATACTACTATATATTATTTTATGTCAAATCTTACAAATTAAATATTCCTATATGTAAATTAGCTTAATTTAGTAATATGTATAACTGATATTGTGCAGCAGAAATTTTTGGGTGGTTGAAGGGAAAATTTAATTAGTTATCAGTGAAGCATATACCTTAACAAAATTACTCATATGGGGAGGAATGAGATAAAAAGCACCAAAAATAACTGAAGTCAATAAATAAAAAAAGAACCATTCTATGCAATTTCCAGACAAAGTTAGGGTGCAATCTGTGGAGTTCTTTCAGTGGCAAACCAAGCCAATCCATACCATTTATATGTTTCCAGTAATAAGGTTTAACAACAAGTAGAGTGATGTATGGGTTGCAAATCACCCCACACCTAACTAAACATGTATAATACTGAAGAGCTATAAAATAACAAGGGAGAGTCACCAAAATAAATAAATAAAAGAAAGCAACTGCTTGCACTCACCAAACTTACCTTCTCTGACATATCTACTGAACAAAACCAACAGAAGTCAATGTTCACATAATCACATTCAATTACTGCTATTCCTATCTGACACTTGATCTGTCAAAAAGAAAAAAGATCATGTCCAAGAGGGGCAGAAAAATATCTTCAAGAAAGAAATTATTTTTTCTGTATTGACAAGGTAAAAGGGTTTTACACATTATCAACTTTGAAGCATAGCTTTTAAGATAATTAATAGAATTAACATGTATGATGATTTGTGATTAGTTAACAGAGTGAGTTCTAACAGTATAATAGCCTAAACCAATAATGTCCAATTGTTCTCGTATAGCTAAATATCTCCCCATGTAAATATTTTCTGTTACAGAAGATTTCAGAACTTCTCTACTGTATATAATACTGTATGATTTGCTGAAAGGAATATACGTTTTATTCACTCACAAATCATTACCTCATTATCCAAAATATCTAATTTTTGTCTTTATTCGTTATATGATCCGTCGCCTGCCGTCCTTCATGACTTGAATCTCTCAGGTCCTTATTTTATTCATCCTAGTGATGGTCCTTCTTCTGTGTCAATCACTGCTGTCCTCGATCGAACAAATTATCAGTCTTGATCCTGTATGGTCCTGGTCTCCAAAAACAAAATGGCTTTCCTCCTTCGCACAATTCTGGTTCCTTCAGTCACCGAACCCCTTTGCCCTACATGGGAAAGATGCAACACTCTCATCATGTCTTGGTTCCTGAATTTGCTTTCCCCTTTCATTTCCCAAAGCATTATCTTCTTTGAATATGTTCCAGACATTTAGAATGACCTTAGTGAGCATTTTTCACAGGGAGATCTCTTCCGCATTACAGAGCTCCAAGAAGAAATATATGGTCTCACTTAAGGTAATTGTCCTGCCTTTGAGTTTTATATTGCCTTGAAAGTCCTGTAAGAGGAACTGGATAATTATCGTCTTTTCATTGCCTGTTCTTATGAGGCCAAGAAATACTATTAACAGAACTTTGTCATTCGATTCTTAAAAAGGCTTGGATGAGCATTTTTCTGTTGTGCGGTCCCAAATCTTGCTTATGGATCCTCTTCCGACGCTTAATCGAGTTTTTTCCATGGTTGTTCAACATGAACATCAACTCAATGTTTTTCTTTCCTTTATCGAACCCAATAGTTTCGTCAACTGCTCTAATGCCTTCGATAAAGGTCGTGGTGCGCCTAGTTCATCATCCACCAAAAACGCTTCCAACAAAAAGTGTTCTTACTGCCACCACACCAGACACATTATCGACATTTGTTGGGGGGGAAGCATGATTATCCAGCCGGTCATGCTTGCTCGATTCAACAACCGCACGCTTTGATAAACTTAATAGAGGGACTAATTACTTCTTCAAGCCCTATCACTTTGACCCAAGCTCAATACTAGTCTCTATTGACTTAGATTCAACAACCCAAAACTGCTTCCAATGATACGGGGAACAACCCTGTCCAACCCAACAGCATCAACCCAAGTCCCTTCTAATAAAAAACATGGTTTTGACTTTAGTGGTATATAATTTATTTTCTTCAACCCACAACACTTCTTCCACCACCCAAAAACACAGTGCACCCTCGATCATAGATTCAAGAGCCACGTATCACATTGAATCCTCTTTAACATATTTTTCTAGTTATTCCAAAATAAATCCCATTCAAATTAATTTTCCAAATAAATCCTTTATCACGGTATATATTTCTAGAACCGTTACTCATTCCCCAAATTTCATTCTTCATGATGTCCTATTTGTTCATGAGTTTCATTTCAATCTCTTGTATATATCCAAGTTGCTTGCAACTCGTAAGTTTACTTTAATCTAGAGTAAGATCTTTACCATCTGTTAGTGGCAAATCGAGAAAAGTGATCGAAAACAAAGGAGAGAAAAATGAGAAAATATGCGATTGATTGATAAATCGATAAGATAGACAAAAACAATTCGATGTCTAATCAGAAGTACGTAGCACATAACATCGAGAAACGTAATCGAGAATCGGAGAAATAATAGTCAAAAGTTTATTGTGGAACAAACCAAGAAATTAGAAGTATATGATGCTAAGGTTAAAAGGAATCAAAAGTAATCCAAAGTTCTCGATAAAATCGAAGTCTAAATCGAAAGAAAGGTTAACCCGCATAAATATCAAAATCGTGGCCAGATCATAAAGAGGAGTTAAACACGCACATAGGAGACAACTTCTAAATCGTGGCAGAGGTTGAAGATCATGGGAACGTGGGTGCAGTTTTGACACCACAGAAGAAGAAACTGCAACGCGCACGAAGAACGTGGTAGCAGTTTGGTTAACTGCTCCTAGAAGGCTTGAATGATGCCCTATAAATAAAGCAGAGGAGGAAGGAATAAGGGGGCAGAAATTGGCAGAGAACAGAATTAGTAGTGAAAAAGTCTACCGGAGAAACGACGAACACCATGAAGTTTCTGGCAATCTGGATTTCCATGCTCACGGAGTACCTTTATCGTTTTCTGTATTTTCCTTGGTAATTTACTTTGATGCAATTTATATTCAGCAATTTTATGTTTCTGTATTTTCGATTCTTGGTCATTTCAATTCAATGCAAGTTTCCGTATTTAAATTTTCTGGTCGTTTTACATCAATACAATTTCGATTTCCAGTAATTCATTGTACCTTTGAGTTACTGTCCTTTACATTTCTTGCAATTTCGATTTCTCGATATTTACATTATTGCTGTTTCGATTCCCTATTCTTTTTCACTTAAAGCAAATTTAAGATTTTCGCAGTTTACGTTTCCTTGCAATCTAAGTTTCAACGATCGATTTTCGATTCCATATATTTTCTATTTTCTTTGCTTCGAGTATCCTGAATACAAAACACCAAAAAATAGTAACTAGGAAATCGAGTAAAATTCGATACCCATACACATTTTGGTTGAAAATTAATTTGCTAGCCTAAGCAAAAAGAACTTACGTGGTAGAATTTTGATTAGGATCAAAATATTTTAGGGGTCGAAATCAATCGAAATTCCACCAGAAACAAATTGGCGCGCCAGGTAGGGGTTACTTGTGTTGAAAATCACAAAATTGGTTAGTCCGAAAGTGTATGAGATTAAGGAGTGGGAGAGTTATAAGAATGAGTCAAAATTCTTCAAATAACCAGAGTAATAGTGAGGGTCTAAATGGTGTACATTCACCAAATACTGGGGGGCAAAGTCATAATGGGAATATGCCTGTAACATCGACAACTGCGAGTATGTCGACACCGGCGGGTAGTGAACAAAATTCAGGCGCCCTAGCAAGTATCCAAGTAGGATCTAGTGTGGTAGTACCAAATAATATGCAAACTGTGGGAAACCCCACAACTACATATGTAGGGCCATATATGAGTGTAAGACCTCCCAGGTTTTCACTTAATAACATGAGCGGGGCTGGAACTTCTTCAACACAGCGGAATTCGAGATATAACTTAGGAATGCCTCAAACGCTGGGCATGCCCCAGAACTTTGGAGTCCCTCTGAATTTAGGAACATCTCAAAACTTAGTAATCCCTCAGAATTTAGGAAGCGGACAGAATTTAGGCACACAACAGACGCTTCCAAACCTAGAGCATAGAGGAAATCTAGACCATAGAGGAAACTTGGAACATGGAAGATATACATTTGATAAAGATTATCATCGATCCAATTTGGAGACTATCGAGAACACTGGTACTGGGATATCCAGTAACTCATTAGGGATACTTAGACAACAAATGGATGAGAGTAATTTTGAGATGGTGAATATGTTATCCCAACAGTTGACTACAGTCCTAAACCCATTAGTTCAAAACACTACAGCTAGTTTTGAGATATTAGCAGATCAAATGTCACGAATCGGGGATGCATTGGCTGTACCTCGACGAACAAGGGTAGAAAATCATGCTAACCAGAATGCCAATATCAATCCCCCATACCTTTTAAGGAGAAATCGAAACAATGATCAACAAATGGGGAATGAATACCGACATGGAAGAAATGATATTTATGGAAATATGAATGAGGGATTTTAAAATATGTATAATCAAAATAACATGCAAAATAATCACATGTTAGGACAAAGGATGAATTTTCAAGGGATAGAATTTAGACCACCCAACCAAACATACTTTGTGTCTCCTTTTCCAAACACGATTCTCGAGACGAAATTATCTCGAGGATACAAAGTACCTAAATTCACCAAATTTGCTGGAGAAGTTGGTGAATCAACTATCGAGCATGTAGCTCGATATC